GTTATCTTTGACAGGTCGTCAACTTCCCGTCAGAGTCGAGGCCATTATAGATAGATAGTGGCCCTCTGGTAAATTCAGGCAAGCTGGTGTCTTCCTGTCCCCGTCAATGCCCCTGGTATAGACGCATGGTGGCCCTCAGGTAAATTCAGCCAAAATCATTGATGACTGCCGAGATTCGCAAATAGTGAGGAAGAGTGTCATAGCTATTTTTTCACAGAATGTTAAACAGAATGTGTATCCAAGTTTGCTAATAATAATGAAAATGCAATGTTTATTAATTATTAAATCAGAATTAACTATCACCCCATTGGATGAAAAGCTACCTTAATTAACTCGTGTGAAAGAAATAATTGATTAAGTAGTTGTTGGTTAGAAACTATATCAGAACTGTCTTAATAAGCCTTTTTTTAGAGGCTTATAATACATAAAAGTATTATTTTAAGAGCTCCCTAGAACTGTAAGCTTAGTTACTTGTATAGTTATATTGTTGTAGTTAAATTGTATAACAATAGTTATATTGTTTCTGCTGTATTGTGCCTACCAATTTGTTGTCAACTACCATTTTAAGCTGTCATTGCAATCAATCATAGCTACCTATGTGCTTTAATATACTGTACCTATAATTTTCTCTCATCTTTTTTTTTTTTCATTCCATGTAATCTGTTATCATTTTTTTGTCTATAAATTTTGCAAGTATTTACCTCCTTAAAATTTTCTTAGATTAAGGACCTGCCCGAAACGCTGCGCGTGCTAGTGGCTTTACAAGACTGTAATTACCATAATTGTATCCTCACATTCCTTATGTACATTCTTGTATATGCATAAATAAATAAATAAATAAATAACTTAGAACTTCGGGCAGTTTGACCTGCCTGAAACGCTGTGCGTTCTAGTGGCTGTACAAGAATGTAAATATATTATGGTATGTACTCTCTCAAACCCAATTTAACTTCTTGCATATATACATATAAATAAAATAATAAAATAGTGTTCCAATATGGCGGCGAAATATGGTCAAACGAGTCCTTATTTGTGTCCTTGGTGAGAGACGTGGGAGTGTTGACGGTCCATCACAGGGGCACACACCCGGCTCCTCTCAGTACGTGCTTCTCTCCTCCCCTACAGGCATTTAGACGCTTTACTAATGTTCTGGGAGTTGACACTACTAACCTGACACGTTAATTGACCTTGACACGTGAACTAGACGATGACATCTTGGCCCCGTCTTGTGAGGCAACTCCACCTTGGGGGCTCCTCCTTCAACCCTCCCTCACTTATTGGGTTTACTTCAGAAAGTTGTATGAACATATTATTCGAGTTTGTTGTTGATTTAGGGGCTATTCGGGTTTGTAGAGGCCAGTATGTGTATGTAGCAATATGTATTGAATAAGCACTGAGATTACTAGTAGTAATAATATTTTATTTAGGCATAAGTACATCCATATAGATTGTAGGGTTCATAGGTAGATAAATACGACGCCCAAAAGCCATTAATATGCGTACTTAGTGGTTTTTAAGTTAGGCCTAGTTATATGCAAATACAAGTTAGGCCTATGTTATGGAACTGGAATAGAAGAAGCAGATAAGGTAAACTCATGCTGGCGAGGTACACACTTCAGTTCATTTACAGAATTTCAGTAGCTAATACAACTAGGTGAGTATGAGCTAGTGCACATATACCATGTGTAAGAAAGGGTTCCTACATGCACAAGCCTAGTGTGTGTGTGTGTGTGTGAGAACTAAGTTGCCATTTGTGTACAGACTGTATGGCGGGCAAAAAAAATATGTAGACAGTTTCATTGCACGCTTGTACATCACTTGATATTGAATGTTAATTAAGGAATATACTAACTCGCTATGTTGGGTGGCAGGCAGCAGTGTGTGTGTGTGTGTATTCTGCCTGAAACGCTGTGCGTACTAGTGGCTTTACAAGAATGTAAACACATCATGCTATGTACTCTCATAAACCCAATGTAACTTCTTGTATATATATATAAATAAATAAAAATAAATACATAAATATTAGTCTTTTATTGAGCCCCCCCCCCTCCCTTGAGATTAAATTACTGACCCCCTACAGGTTGCAACCCTACAACAAGCTGACTAACTCCTGGATACCTACTTACCCAGGAGGGTCCCGATAGGGTCGGGTTCGTTCTCGACTCTTGAGAATTCCAGGTTCGAGTCCCTGGCGAGGCAGAAATGGTTGAGCTCATTTCTTATCACCTAATGCTGCTGTTCACCTAGGAGTAAGTAGGTACCCAAAGAGTTGGTCAGCTTGTGGGGTTGTATCCTGGGCGGGGTCAGTAATTCGATCTTGGTTTAGGTGGGGGGGAGACCTCGATAAAAAGCCTAATGTGTATCAATACACTGTGGCTTCCTGTCCCCTGACACAAGGAATTATTATAATTATTCTTTACTGCTAGATAAACAGAGGCATTAGGTGATAGGAAATACACCCAACGACATATCTGTCCCACCTGGGATTTAAACCTGGAATTCTTGATTGAGAGTTGAGAACGAACCTAACTGTACTGTTCCAAACCATGTTGGAATCTCAAATCCTATACATGGGTTGACCCATCTGACAGTTGGGTCAGATTCCAATCTTGTGTTGAATATTACTACTGGGACCCAAAATGTTAGTACAGTTAGTATATATTAGTACAGTACTGTACTGTACAATGTGTATTTTGTAGAACTAAAGACATGTGAATCTAAAGCACTGTAAAGAAGTGGTACAGGATGTATGCATTAGTGTCTTGTGTATAGAATCTAACCAACAGCTGTACATTTGAAAGAAAAATTAAGAAATATCTAACATAAACAAAATTTTACTTGTATATCATAAAAAATAAGTCAATTTTGTGGTTTGCTGTTATTACGAATATTAATTACAGTACTGCAGTATATCTATACTGTAGTAAAACTACAGATTCTGTAATAGAAATAATTATTTCTATTATAGAATTTGTCTTGTTTCATCATTGTTATCACTTAGTTTACAGCAGTCTCCGTGGTGTAGTGGTAAGACACTCGCCTGGCGTTCCGCGAGCGCTATGTCATGGGTTCGTATCCTGGCCGGGGAGGATTTACTGGGCGCAATTCCTTAACTGTAGCCTCTGTTTAACGCAACAGTAAAATGTGTACTTGGATGAAAAAACGATTCTTCGCGGCAGGGGATCGTATTCCAGGGACCATAGGATTAAGGACTTGCCCGAAATGCTACGCGTACTAGTGGCTGTACAAGAATGTAACAACTCTTGTATGTAACAACTTAAAGTATGTATTGTATGCCGACTCCTCATTTAGTATGAAGTGTTTACCTTGTTAAACCTATAAATAATTTATTGAATCATTTTAAGTTATGTTCAAAATACTGTACTGTGCATTAGTGACATATTATTGTAAACATAATTGAGGAAAATTCCACCCATGTTACTCAACATGCTAAATGCTATATTAAATTTTGAACAATAATTTTGACATAGTTCCTTACTCACATACTTATAAGCCGTCGTAGCCCAGCTGTGGGAGCGTCCTCTGCAGCCTCACAGTCCAGAGTTCCACCTACATTTACTAATACGTCCCAAAACTGTCGGTAATTTCAAAACGTTATATGACAAAGAGTGCTGGGGAGACGGGACACCACGAGCATAGCTCTCATCCTGTAACTACACTTAGGTCACTTAGGTAAAGGTGATTAGGTAATTACATCCCTGACTCCATCACACCTGGACTTCTCTGTCATCAACACACACTGTTTTCCCCATTAAAATCACTATCCATGTGTATTTGTTAGAATTTAAACAGCACTTGTGCATTAAGTGCTCTTGTTTAATAAAAGTTAATTTGCATTTTAATTTTATACAGTATATTACTTTTACTGTATACACAATTAATTATTAATAATAATTGTATACACAATTATACCTGTATGCCATTATGATCATAATGGCATACAGGTATAATAACCTGCACAGGTATAATACAGGTATAATAACCATTATGTTAAAGCTAATTACATTTGGGAAATCTCTCTACATATATATTTTACCGATTGGTCACTAGTTTGTCAAGCAATGAAGTCTGCATTGTGATGGTACAGTAGTATTATGCAAAATAATACTTATCCTAAGATATTAGCATGTCAGCCCTTGGGGTTAAATATAAGTTGTTAATCATTATATGAACAACTGTAGCACAGGTAAATTTTTCAGGATAATTGTTGCTGATGTTACGCCTCATTACCCTTGACGTGACCAACACTATCCTCAAGTGAGTACAACGGGTGTTCCAAGCTTCTCACTGTGACTCTGCTCGATCTCTTGTTTCTGTACAGTATTGTACTGTAATATTGTTTAGTTATGCTGTATTGGTAAAGCGACCATGTTTTATGTTTAAGATCTTTGTGAATGGCAAATGTATTTGAGTTTGGTTCAAAATGTAAAAAAAAAATGACATAGCTTGGGACATTTCTGGGTGGCCCACCAGAAAAGAGAGTTTCATTGCATTCAACAATTGATTTTTAAGTACTGTACACCTCTCTCCCTAACTTCTCCATGAGTTAGGCAAAACACCAAAGAACACAAAAGTCTAGATGACGACAACACTACAGAGCCTGAGTACAACACTCAAGTCTCTAGTTAGAGAAATGTTCACAGTTGGCCACCTTCTGACACTCAGGATTCAGATAACTTTTGCTGGGTAAACTTGAGTATACTCAAAACAGTTCATATCCTGTTAAAAGGGTCCCGGTAGTAGTCGGGTTCATTCTCGACCCACCATCGAGAATTCCGGGTTCAAATTCTGAGAGGGACGGAAATGGTTGGGCACATTCCCTTTCATCTAATGCTCCTGTTTACCTAGTAGTGAGGTACTCAGGAGTTAGTCAGCTTGTGGTGTTGCATCCTGGGAAGGGTCAGTAATTTGGCCTTGGGGGTGGGGGGGGGACCTTGATAAAAGCCAGATGTGTATGAATACACTCTGGTTGCCTGTCTTCCAATAATGAATTATTATCATGAATTAAAATGATATTATGGGTTCCCATAGTCGAAGGACAGGAAGCTTGTTTGGCTTAATAGAGGTCTTGCTCTTTCCCCACCCCCTTCTCAGGCCAACTACTGACCTTCCCAATAATGCAACCCACAGCAGTTGCCTAATTCCTATGTACCTACCGGTATTTACTGCTAGGTGAACAGGGGCATCACATGAAGGAAATGTTGCCTAAACACTTCTGTCCTATCAGTGGTTTTGAATTGGGGATCTTTTGTCTGTGACCTGACTGAGCTTACCACTGTACCACACGTGCAGGGACAGTTGACAATTAGCAACCCATGTTCAATCTGGTAAGTCTCCAAAACACAACTAAATTCTGAAATCATAGCCAACATAACTGAGCAATTGATCCATGCTTTTTGCAGCCAACATGTAACATCAGGATATGTGTAAGGTGATTATGGGTAGGTGGACTGTAGATCTTGGGAGGTGCTGCCACCTGATGGCAGTAAGCTGATGAAAAGAGGAATTGTTGTTGGCTGTTAAATTTTCCAAAAGTTTCTGTTCGCAGTCATGAGTTATATACATGTAACTTAAGAATTGGGAATGGTTGAGCTTGTGAATGACCAATGGTTCCATAGCTGGATGCACACAATCTAGTGACGTCAGATTTTGTATATGACCCTTCAGGCATGGTCAAGTCCTTGTTGCAATGGAATCATACTGTAAAGTGTGTACTTCTTCCTAATTAAAATCACATTACTCCTTGTCATGCAGGATGGAGCAGAATTAAAACACATCTTGGTTTGAAACTTTCTATGAAATTTAATATGTTTGCACTTAAAGCAATTTGTAATGACATTTGAGAAAAAAATCATGATTATTCATAGAGGTAAATCACTGTGTGTATATGCCTGTTGACTGCTTTAAACTGGTACCTCAGTAATGGTGTTAGTTTTTGCATATGAATAAATGATCTACAGTACAGTATATTAAATAGACTTTTGTAGAACTGGGAGCTTGTGTATATATTTCATCTATACTGTAGTATATATTTTGTCTGTACTGTAGTATATATTTTGTCTGTACTGTAGTATCGTACAGTGTATATTTTGTCTGCTGTATATATTTTGTCCACTTTTCCAAAATACCATCACACTAAATTTAAAATACAGTACAGTACAATTCATTTGCTTTAAATTTTTCTCTTGCCTATTTTACCAAATTGTTTAATTCTGTAGTCTGAGCCATCAGATAACTGTCATCAGTATCCATTATTGCAGTGCCGGTATAGTACAGTATTCCATGTTCTATTTTCATCCACCTTTCTCCAAGTCTCATCACTCCTCAACTTAGGTTAGCAGTCACAACCTCTCTCAGAATATTTCTACAAAAGAGGCATTAAACAGTCATTGTGACATAATATTTCCTTAACTCTTCAACCAGTTATTGGTACATCACTTGGTCTCGCATGCCTTTATCACTGTCAAAACTGTTCACTGCTACCTTGAGGTTACCTTGAGGTGCTTCCGGGGCTTAGCGTCCCCGCGGCCCGGTCGGAGACCAGGCCTCCTGGTTGCTGGGCTGATCAACCAGGCTGTTGGACGCGGCTGCTCGCAGCCTGACGTATGAGTCACAGCCTGGTTGATCAGGTATCCTTTGGAGGTGCTTATCCAGTTATCTCTTGAACTACTCTGCTACTCAGTCTCGCACTTCAAAGAATCTCTCAGTACTTTGGAAGCTTTCTTATTATCTCAGACATAATTTTATATTTAAGCTTTGAATCATATTACAGTACCAAGATCCTGCCACTCCTAAACTAAATACACTTCAGATTTTTATAATCACCATAAAAGAAGATTCACATGATGTGGTCTATTCTGGACTGTAACATTAGTTTAATTTTTTTTTTTTTAGTGTATAGAAAGTCTAATATACAAACAAATACCAATTTGATATTTGATTTTGAACTGTTGCATATACTATGTCCATAGTGGCTATTGAATTGGGTACTTAATCTTTTATTAACATTATAAAACAAATGTGTCTAGTGTTTACTGTAGAATTAGGTGAAAATGTTTCATGGGATACAGTACTGTATATGATTAGAGGTTTTATTTGTAACACCTTCATAAGCTAATACAGTATATAATATAGTTGTTAAATATGGATTCATGTGCAATCCTTTAAACTACAGTAGGCTGAATATTCGTGGTAATTTTTTTCAGGTTTCGAAATTCTCCTGGGGAGCAGTATGCAGCCATTGGTCAGCTGTATGGTTTAAACCCAGATCCTCAGAAGCTAAAACATGCCTTTGGGTAAGTTTATCAAGCAAGACTCCCTTATTTGCCTTCCTAATTTAGGGTCCACCCAGGTCACTGCTAGCTTGCCAGACTTCAGAGAGTATTGAACTGGTCTGAGAAGTAACTTTTCAACTGACTTTGTCCCTAGTTACAGGGGCAGGGAGCACTTATATTTCTGATCAACAATCAGTAGCGTTTCCATTCATTTCCTCTATTCCATGTCTTCCTTTTGTCAACAGGGTAAGGTGGCCTCCCTCCCAGCTCTCTATATGAATATTCTGCCAGCTAGTGGTGGTTGAGGTACAGTAGTTGTATTAGTGGGTGAATATCTTGTTCAGAGCATGGTGTGGTGATTTAGTGTTGCCAAATATTACCTATATGCAAGTTGAGTGCTTTGAAACTCCTCTTGGTATGATTGCAATTGGTTCACCTCAGTAGTAGATTGATCTCTGAGCTCTTTGGGCAAAGCTGGTAGCAAAAGTACTTGTTTCAGGTGTGCTTAGTCAGTCAATAGGGGTATGGTGTGTTCACAATGTCCTAATCATGATGATGGTGACATAAGCTAGGGGTGCTACTGAGGAGTTGCCCTCAAAGACCATTTCATTATGCTCGATACTTTTTTTTTTTTTGTTCATGGTCACTATGACAATCTTTTCTACTTAGTACTGTAACAACATTAGAAATATGTAGAAATTTTTTCTTGTCCTCATTTTGCATCTCATATGCTGAAAAAAAGTGGCCTTAGGAGGATTACATGGGCAGCCATCTATTTGTGTGGTGTTAGCGAATGCATGGTTGGTGGTATGTGGGGGAGTGCACTTTTATACAAAGTTTTGAGTTGTTGTCTGTACAGTACTGTACTGTACTGTATGTGGGTTTAGCGCAGCCAGTCTTCCGGACTACCACAGTCTCGGCAATGTATTGGGCTTCCACATACATACCTTTCTTGCATTTTTTAATTTTTTGTATTATATTCTTGCATGATTGCATATAGCAAACATTGTGGAATATATTATGTAATATATTTGAGATTTAGATTTTTGTTGGGTTTTATAGTAACATTTCCCTGTACAAGTCGATGGCTGCCCATATTATATACGAGTAAGGACAAACACACGAGAATAATGAATGTAAATGTTTATAAACTTGAAACGGTGATCAAATATTCGTATGAGTTTTTTGTATACTTATGGTCATGTAAAATTGAACACTACTGAGAAAAACAATTAAAGGCCTATTCTTTACATAATAACATTAATTATTTGTAGCATTATAGAGATACTGACATCTTATAAGCATCTAATGTATGTTTTTTATTTTCAGACTGAGTTATAGGAAACTTGAAAAGGAAACACCAAATTTTGGAGCTGGAAGCATTGGCTGGCAAAATTGGTGGCTTTTAATTGTAAGAGAAACCTTTAAGAGAGCTGATTGTCATGCTGAGGAACATACCCTAAATGCTGTTGGACATCACCTCATCAAACATTTTGCAAGCGCTAATGCATATGAACTTCTCGATGGTTGCATACCACTTTTAGAACAAATTAATGACAAGGCTGTGAAAATTGGAGCTATATCTAACTTTGATTATCGCCTGGAGGGCATCCTGTATCAGTTGGGGATTAGGCATTATTTTGATTTTGTTGTTAATTCATATAGTGTCAAAGCTGCCAAGCCAGACCCAAGAATCTTTCAGCAAGCTTTGGTCATTGCAGGCAGTGATATTAGTCCAGGTGAAGCTCTTCACATAGGAGATGACCTTCACCGAGACTATCTAGGAGCACGGGCCTCTGGATGGCAAAGCTTTTTGGTGTCAAAAGATTATCGGCAATTATGTGAGGAAGTTGGTGTGACGCCTGACACAACTTCTATGTTTACCTGCTTGAGAGAATTATTACCTGTGATAGAACGTTATACTTATCCTTAAAGCATATGTGAAGAAATACAGTATGTTTATGAGCGATTGTGGATATTCAGCATAATAAGAGTAAACATTTTGTATTCGCAAAAAATGATTGTTGCTTTGAATTGTACAAATTTTTTTAAAGTTATGAAGCTATCACTTTTAACCCCATTGAATCATCATAGATGTTTCTGGTTTAAATTTCTAGGTAAACCACGGGCTTTATTAGACAGCAGGGGGAAAATCAATAACTACTACAAATATTCTGAAAATGATAAAATTAGGAGATATTCAAACATGACAGTTTGTGATGTTCCAGGGTTGATCAGATATCAATTAAACTGCTGTGTCAACTATATAATTCAGGGAAATTATTGGAACTACAGAAGAATGCAGTTATACAGGAAGAACAGAGGTGAAGACAAGAGTAGAAACCACAGCAAGTGGTCATACTCAACACTGCTGGCACTAACATTATTTAGCACCCAGTCAGAAGGAAAGGAAGAGGCAAAGGACTCTGAATTAATTACAATGATCAAGAGAGGAATTTTGGCACTGAAGGTAAGTCACTATAGTATGACTAATTGTGTATGCTTTAATTGGATATTGCATTCTGGATAAAAGGTAAATGTGCTTGGCCTTTAGAGAAATTACTGAAACTAAATTCATTACAAACTACTCTGCATGTCTTGAAATATACTGTATTGTACAGTGCAACTTGTAAACATTGTCTAATTGGTTCCAAATCCATTCAAAACCGTCACACATTTTGAACTTTAAAACATAGTAGCAATACTGTATGTCAAGCATTGTGGTGTGTTATCTTGCCTCCCAGGGATTTTTTTGCTGCTCAGTTGCGGTCTGGTTTGCACTCTTGAGATGATTACTGCTCTAGTCTTGGCATCCATATCTTGTGGTTAAGGTTTCGCCTTAGCCACAAGGCGTTGGTTCCTTTTTGTTGCAATGTGGTGTTGACCTACTTTGCCTTGCCTCCAGGTGGACTGTTCTGGGCCACTTCCAGGTAACTTAGGAACATACGAATAGAGATGACAAAAGGCATATTGGTCCATTCAAAACCACTTCTGCATATACCCAACCAAATTCAATCATATTTATGTATGACTTACATTTGAAACAATCAGTTATTCCCTCCACTGTGCTTTCTGGTGGTTTCCCCAGTTTTAGAGTTGATCTTGGATTCTCAAGCGTCCCTCACCTAGTATACTGCGCAAAATTTGTTGGGCTAAGGCATGGTGGTACCAGAGTTAGGCTCGGGAAACCAGAAAAGGATGTTATTACCTTTAATTTTTTTGTATAATTACAGTAGTTCTACCATTGGTTGAGACCAGCTGGTTATTAGGGAAACACTTGTCATATTAACATTTTACACATTAAATCTGGTAAAATTGATTGTGGATCGGGATTTTTTCCTAATTGTTATATGAGAGACCATTAAATGGTTATTTTTGGAATGGTGGAACCATCTTGAGATGATCTTGAGGTTATCTTGAGATGATTTCGGGGCTTTTTTTTTTTTAGTGTCCCCGCAGCCTGGTCCTCGACCAGGCCTCCACCCCCAGGAAGCAGCCCATGACAGCTGACTAACACCCAGGCTAACACCCAGGTAAATATTTTACTGCTAGGTAACAGGGGCATAGGGTGAAAGAAACATTGCCCTTTGTTTCTCGCCGGCGCCTGGGATTGAACCCAGGACCACAGCATCACAAGTCCAGCGTGCTGTCCGCTCGGCCGACTGGCTCCATCATATTATCCAATACCATAGTGACTTACAAATAGGGTTGATAAGCTAAAATTGAAAGGAAACTGGTTAAAATATGGTCTGCCTTATAGGTTTACTGCAGTATTCTTGTGTGTAAAGTGTGACTGGAACTGGCATTTTTTCCTGAATGCCAGTTCCAGTTGCACTTTTATGATCAATTGGCAACTGCTTCCGTCACACTAAACTAAATATCAGTCCCCCATGGCGTAGTGGCAAGACTCTTGCCTGGCGTTTCGCGAGTGCTTTGTCCTGGGTTCATATTCTGGCCGGGGAGGATTTACTGGGCGCAAATCCTTAACTGTAGCCTCTGTTTAACCCAACAGTAAAATGGGTACCTAGTTGTTAAACATGTTGGCAGTATTGTATTCTGGGGAACATAGGATTAAGGACTTGCTTGAAATGCTTCCAGAAAGATTTTGCTTTCAGATCCGTATTTCTAAAACTAAAGAGACCTGAATACCCATGAATTTTCAACATGTGGAAGTAAAATGTTGATGGATTCAGACTAACCCCTAGAATGCAGCTACAGTACTATATCATCAAAATTAACACCTTGCCTGTAAAAAAAATTATTGAATGATACATTTGATATGTTCTCTCTCTTCGTTTCCAAGAACAAAAGTTAGAGATTTTAAGGTGATAATGTAGGTTGGCGTTCAATCCGTCCCCTCCCGAATTCTTATCCTGATCCGTTCCTAGTTCTGTATAGTCATAATGGCTTGGCACTTTCCTCTGAAAGTTCCCTTCTCTTAGCGAGCGAGTTGTCGTTTTATGTTGATTGACTGATGTCTTCCCTGTTCTCTGGTTAGTCCCTGCTTTTCCATTCTCTATGGGGTAGTTAGCTTCACGGAGCCACAAGGGGCTTCCGCAGACCACTAGCATTGAAAGTAATGAAATGCCTCTTTAAATGAGCTCTGGTGTGTCTCTTGATTCCCTCTCTCCCTTCCTGGTTTGTCAGTGGGTGTGTGTTTTTGCATCTGCTCCAGAACTGGCTTGTGGGACAGGGGAAGATTTGGAGTGCCAGTCCCTGAAACTGGAAGTAGGTGGGGTGGTGCTACTTAGCTCATGCTAGTTTCAAGAGATTCAATCACTTGCGTACATTGTGGGGGGGGGGGGGGTCAATTGGCGGTTTTGAGACTTCAGCCTCTTCAAACCCAGCGGTGGTCTGTGTTGGTTCGGTGACTTTCTGGATGCTTTACCTGTGTGGTGGTGGGGTGTCACCTGCTTTCTATGCCTCTGTGAAGGCCCAGGTTCTGGCCCCCAGATGGCTAAACAGAACTCTGTGGCTGATGTGACCTAGTAGTTGGGAGCCATCTCAGGGAGATAGCTTCAGGGAGCCACTGGGACTTATCCAGAAAGGAGTGTTTCAGTGCATTCAATGCTGGTTTTATGAAATACAATATAATAAAAGTGGTTTTCAAAAATATAATTACTGTGTATGTACCTGTATATCAGTATATAAAATCGTCTTTTTTTCTATAATATTTTTATATTGGTGTGTGTTCTTTGTATTTAAAGTGTATAAACATGCACTGTTATACAGTATGTTTGTACAATATTCTAACATTTACTGCAAGAAAAACTACACCATAATTAATGACTGATATTGTTTGGAAGTTTGCAGTGTATGCTATATAGTTAAAGCAATATTTGTACTGTAACACTTTTGAATGTTAATTACAGCATTTTTTGGTCACATCACATTGCAATTTAAATAGGGTTTATTTTCAATAAGCATTAAAAATAATATTTTTGTTGGTACAGTATTTATAAGATTTAATTAAAATATTGATTTTATAATTGTAGTATAGTACTCTGCAGTAGATAGTTTATATTATAATTTGTAGTTACACAGTAATTTTAAGGCATACTGAACAAGTATAGCAAAATTGTGTAAATGCCTTTGAATATTTGTGGTATGTGGAATGTATATTGTGATGCCTAAAGGTTTTAATAATCAGAAAAGGACATGGCCGCAAGAATGTACTGTACTTTCATATGAAGTCTCTTAGATTATAATACAATTTTATTTTTATTATTATTATGCATTAAGGACAATTTCTTCATTACCAGAAAGGAGAACTACAGAAAGCTGAGCAGCTGCTCCATGTGGCCTTGAAAGCTGCTCAAGAAACTCAAAATGGCCTGGCTATCACATACATCTTTGACCTTCTTGCTAATTTGGCATATCAGAAGGAGGAATATTCTAAAGCCGAGACGCTCTTTAAGGAGGTTTTACAGCGGTTGCTATCAGGTAAGACACTTCATTTGAAATAATATAGTTTTTGTTGTGGACCTTTGTCCGTTTGTAAACAGTCAGTGTTACTACAGAGAAACATGGAACTGGACATAACATGTACATACATATAACACATATACATCTTGTTGTATTTAAAATAGTTGATGCACTGGTGAAAATTAAACAAATATATTAATAAGGACAATACAAATATCAATAATAAGTTAGATAGAATAAGTATACAGTACTTTGAATTGTCTGATCCTCAGTAATTAAAAATACTGTACAGTACTTCAAAGGATGCAGTAAAAATAATGTTCAAAGAGGAAAATTAACTTAGACATTAACACTTTACTGATTGTGACCTCTCCGCATGTTCCCAATTGTAAACATTCTGGGCTTCCAGGGTGGCTCATTGGTTACCAAATGATGTTTACACTTGTTTTAGGTTTACACTTGGTTTACACTTAGGTTTATGCTTACACTTGTTTTAGGTTTTCTTGGTTATTTGTGGGGTTATAGCTATAAATTTAGTGTCTAAAGTGTTCACAGAGGAATTCTCTAGATAACAGATACAAAAATAGTGTATATATGATTGATTTTGGTCCTCTTAGTTCATTCCTTAACATAAACTTGGCAGGCTCGGCAGGTTCTGCTCAGCTACAGGACAGCTACAGATTTGCTTAGTTGTGAGCCTCCTTGTAGAATGCTCTGATTTTCAGGATGATCGTATGTCTTCCTTTTCTAATGTCCCTCTGGGTCACTTGTCTTTCAGTAGAATCCCTGGCGAATCTGATACCTTTGAAAGCACCCATCATATGTCCTTTTGTTCTTGTTTTGGCATCCTAAATGATATTTAGCTCCTTTCGAATATTCAGCGACATAGAAGGTGCCTCATAGCCTTCATGGTTTGGTGCCTTCTTTTAAATAATTGTTTGAGGTAATATTCAGTGATCAGTATGGCTTTTACTGAAATAAACTTTGGTTAACTTTGTAAGCCATGCCACTCTCAGTCTCCTTTGTGTCCCATGGACCATGGAAACAAGGAGATGTCTCCCTGCCTCCATATTTCCTCAAGGGGGTTGCCAGGATTTAATTTCTCTGGCTCTCCTTATAATGCTACTCATATCATTACATGTTCCAAAATACGACTGCCTGGGGATACACCTCTTTATAGGATACTATCGAAACATGCTTAATAATTTTTACAATTCATATTGATATCTGTGATATCTGGTACCTAATCTTTTACTTTCTTGGGACTTATTATTTGCCATCTGATAAATATGCTATCCAGCCTATTCCTAGATAATATTTGTGTTCATTACACAATACTGTAATACTCTTTACACCAGTCTCTACTTGTTACATCTGTCTGACCTCCTTTATTTGCAAGTACAATTTATTCCTTGTATAGTAGCAGTATTGTAAACAAATGTGACTACAAACAAGGCAGCACAGGGGCATTCAACAGTATTATTTGGAAATACTGTGTAATGTTTTCTGGCCTCAGTGAAGAAGTCATGTCTGACACTCCATATATGGTAACCTCAAACAGAATCTCTTGATGGTATGGCCAATATGACAGAACTTTGTGAAATTATCAGATTTCTTAAAAATTTCAGTACATTATAGAATTTAATTCTTTTTGTTTTTCCTTTTGACATGTCATCTGAATCAAACTAACCCTACTCTCTGTTGTTCCATTGCTATGAACTATTTTTAATTCTTTTGTGGTGAAGGATTTTTTCTGACGAACTTAAAATCATACGTGGAGAAGAAAAGATAGGAAGATATAAAGTAGTTGATGTGAAATATAATTGGATAAGGCTACTGAATTCTTTCCACCAAGTTGTATTAGACAATTTTATAATTGGAGCAAAGGCAAAAACTAATAGGCAATTTGGGTAGATACATGGTGAAAATGGTATCACTGACAGACAGCAACTTTTATTTTAAGTAGAAAAAGAGTGAAAGATGTTCCATGTTTTATATAAGAACAGACATTAATAATGAGTATTGGTAATTTTTCAATCAAAAGAATTGTGGTGCTGCTGCTGTAGAAGAATGTGTATTAAACTGCAATGAATTTCTGTGCACTGTTCTGTGTTCAGAATTAAGCATTTTCTGGAGGGAGCCCCTTGTGTCTCCTTGAAGTTATCTTCTTGAGATTGCTTCATACTAAAGGGTCACATCAGTTGTGGAGCCAGAGCCAGAACTTGGCCCCCCCCCTCAAAGAGGCATAGGGAGCAGGTGACTATCTGCCACCCTCACTGGAAAAAAGCCTCCAGAAAGTTAGCGCATCTTTGCAGAGAACTGGAGGGTTCACAGAAACCAAAGCTTCGAAGCTGCCAAATGATCCCCACAAATGATTCACGCAGAAACAAGGGATTCACTCAAATGAGCTCGAACTCCTTAGTACTGATTTCCACTACCAGATGGCCTCCCCTACCCATCAAGTGGCTCCAGTCAGTTCAGATCCTGATGATGGTGTCTTCACACCAACTTGTAGTTCTTATGGTCATGCCACCTTAAGGGTGGGCTCTGAAACTTCAAGCGAACTGCCAGCCATCCTCAGACTTGGTAGTCCTTTGAGGGCCATTTGCGTTTTGTATTGTTTCCTACCATAGTACTCACCTAGTTGTGCTTGCGGGGGTTGAGCTTTGGTCCGTTCCCTTGTGGAGCTGGACGCTTCATGTAGCTTAGCTTTTGACTTCTCAATGGTTTGGTTCTCCATGCGGTTCATGTGTGGGATGAGTCCAATGTTCTCGCAGATGGATTGTCTCACATTCGGCCTGTCTCAACAGAGTGGACTGTTGATGATTAGCCCTGCAGGAATGTGGATCTCTCTTTCGTTGGTGTAGATGCAGCGCCTTCCCTCCTATGTGGCTTCAATTTCCCAGTTGCGAGGCTGTTACGGTGGATACCTTTCAGATGGGTTGGTCAAGATGGAGGTGCATTTACCTCTTTCTCACTGTTGGGTTTGTTGCTCCTGGTGTTGGCCAGTCTAGAGTTGTAGTTGGGGAGGGTGATCCTTTTGGCTTTTTGGTGGCTGACCCACCTTTGGTTTCTGGTTCTTCTATTCTGGTGCTTGGACCCATGCATTTTTCTGTGGCTCTGCCTCTTACAGTGCATTAGCCCGGTGGTGTATGCGACTGGTTTGAACTTATCTTCTACGCTTCATGTCTGGAGCTTTTGATATGCATCTGTCATTATTTGTATGATGCATGAGTAACTGGTCTGTTGGTGTCCCACCTGCTTCTTTCTTGGTAGCAAGAGTATAAGGTAGCCTGGCGCTCGTTTCACCACTATTTGTCTCTACACTGTCTCTTGTCTTCAGTATCTGTTTGCTGTTCTCTCCTTTCTGTCTTGGTTCTTACTCAATCAGCATCTTATGCCGAATACTGTCACCTCTTATTATTTGACTTTGACAGAGCTGCTATTGCTTGCATTCGGTATCGTCGTCTCTGTGGCTCCATTCCACAAGTCGTCACATGTGTTCTTCCTCCTCCTGGTTTGCTCCTGCTGCTCCTGAGCCATCTTGGTCGCTTGACCGTATTTTGGCTTTTCTTTCCTCACCTCAGTTTACGTTTTCCCGTCATGCTTGGGATTGTTTTTCTTGTTGGCTCTTGCCTCCAGTTGTCAAATTAGGGAGCTTCAGACCCTTCCCTGGAAGCGGGTATTTGGCCATGATGGGTGGGTGGTTTGTTCACAGCTGTCTCCTTGTTTTTTGGTGAAGAATGATTTGGCTGACTTCCAGAGGAGTCATTTGGTGATCTGTTGTGTTCAGTAGCGGCTCTTCGCCATTACCTGTATACCACCAGTTCTGTCTGTAGACACCTTGCTTGATCCTGTTTCCTTGGTTCCCTGTTCCAAGGCTTGCATTTCTCAAGTTTGTCTGCAGTTATCAACTCTAGCCAGCTGGTGTTTTACCCTCGGGTCCATGATGTTTGTAAATATGTAGCCTTAGCCGCTGTCTTTTCTGACATGTCCACATTCAGGCTTTGTGGTTTAGGTGTTCTACAAGGAGATATTGCAGCCCAATATTTAGTTAATATTCCTGAGCCCAGTTAGTCGTGTGTGGCTTTCAGTTGTCACTCTGGCCTGGTTTCTCTACATCCTAGGTTCTGCTTCATTTCCTCATTCCTAGTAAGATCCTTCTTGTTCTCCATGGTTAACTAACTTTAGGGAGCTACAAGGGGCTCCCTAAAGCGTTGCAGCATTGAAGCCTATCACCCAGCGTTGAATGTAATGATATGTCAATTTCTGAAGTAACCCTGCCCCCTGACACCCTCCCTTCCTCCAGGTGCATCAGTTTGTTGTGGGTTTATCAGGTCCTGAACTGACTGGGGGGGAGCCAGCTGACAGCCAGGGGCCAGGCTGCCTGGCTGTCTGGTGGATCTGTTGGTGGTAATCAGTAATAATGAGTTTTGAGCTCATTTGAGTGAATCCCTTGTTCTGTGTGATTTGTTTGTAATTGCTTAAGTGTAGTTACAGGTTGAGAGCTACGCTTGAGGTGTCCCGTCTTCCTAGTACTGTACTCTGTCATGTAATGCTTTGAAAACCCAGATCTTGTGTAGATCATTTGGCAGTTTTGAGGCTTCATTTTCTGTGAACCCTCCAGTTGTAGCCCCTTCACTTAAACAAATGCCAAAGTCCATTCCATGCACCTGCCAACCCCCCAACCCCTGTTTATGAACGAAAAACGGTTTACACAAGACTCGCAACTGATGACGTTCGAACACTTCTCGAACAAGTGTTTCACTGATTGCTTTTGTTCGAACCACAATGCTGTAAATGCTTCACCCACCTCCTACAAATAATCGCCAACAGAATTTATTCACCTAACCTAACCTAAATATGCACAGTATGCTAATATATAACAATATTAATTTATATTTGAGAAAATTCTTCTTTTGAATGAACAGCATGTTAAAATTGTTGAATGTGTCTTTGGGATTGACCGCTGGATGAAATGTACTTGGTCTGAGGACTAGTTGCCAATTGTCTGTAAAACTGTAGGCTTTTACAGGTGGGATGGCAGATTGTCATCTGCTATTCATTCTTTTTAGAGGAGAGTGGTTCTGGCTCTGGTCCCTGGTAATGCCAAACTAAACTTCCATAGCTGGTGTTACCTTTAAGTGTGAAGCAATCTCAGGAACATCGCTTCATGGAGCCACTGGAGCTCCACCAGAAATTGGTGCCTCATTATTTAACACTGGGGTTATGTACTAAAGTTGTAGAAACGTAACAATTTGAATCATTTTGGTATACGTAATGCTGTTGGTTGTTACAGGTGGTATGGCTGAAGATGACAATGCTGTTGTAGAAATATCCTTGAAGTTAGCCAGTGTATATGCATCAATGTTTGACTATGAGAAAGCTGTTGAAGGATTCCAGTTTTGCATTGGAACTCAAGAAGACAAGATTAAAAAAATTGGTGAGAAGAACCTCGATGAAGACACATTATTGTTGTGGGCCATGAGCATGGATTGGTATGCACGTTTTTTACTTAATATTCACAAGTATGATTTAGCAAAAAAACATTTCCTAAAGGCCTATGAAATGAGTGAACGTGTAAATGGCCCTGGACATGAGCAAACTGCAGTTTTGCTAAATGACATTGGTTCTGTGTGTTCGTTGCAAAAGGAATATGCAGAAGCTATTGAATACTTGGAAAAAGCAATCGATGCAGCACGAGAGAGTGAAAGTTCCGATATTGGTTCTTTTTATGTGAATCTCGGAACAGTATATCTTCAACAAAGTTTGCTTGTTGATGCAGAAAGGTGTTGTAAAGAAGGTTTACTTTTGTCAAGGAAAATGAAAAATGAAGATGCCACTGAAGAGGCCAAAATCTGTCTAAAAGAAGTACAAAATTTGATGAAAAAGAAATGATTTTCTTATGGCAATTGCCTTACTCTGTATAGTATATGTTTAGTTAGTCAACAAAAACTGGGTGTTTTTATAGAATTTTCAGAAATTATGTACTGTAATTGGATTCCTTGTTAGCTGGCAATTTTTAACTTAACATTTTATAGCTTAGTGAGGTTTGAATTGATCTCAAATTTGTTCATTTTATTAAGGATAGAAAATCTGTGGTGATAACAAAAATCTAAGTCCAGCAGTAGGCGCTTCATGCTTATTTAAATTAAACTCATTCCCACTTTGTCTCCTCTCTGTTTACACTTGGGCACTTGAGAGTAATGGTAGTGTATGTCTATTTCATTGGACTAGACACATGTTTCTTGGATTAGTATCGCTATCTTCTTTAGTGGCATGAAACGAACAACCACTTATCCAGTCAGAAATACATATACAGTACGATAATAAGATACATATCATGTACATTATTTGGATTTTTGCTCATAATTTTTTCAGTGGAATGTTTGTGTGAAAGTTCATATTTTGTACATTGTACAGCAGATTTATTGTACAGTATTGACAAAATATTATATCTCAAAAGGAATATATGCTGGAAGTGAATAGATCTTCAGATAGTGGGACAGTAATGCAAAATAAATCTTACACAGTTCTGCGGATCTAGTCCAGAAAAATATTTTGCATGGATATATGTGTGTGTGTGTGTGTGTGTGTGTGTGTCTGTGTCTGTGTCTGTGTCTGTACTTACTATTCTTGCCTGCAAAATCATGCTATTAGCTCCTGGACCCCGCCTTTCTAACCAATCAATTTTTCTTTCTCACATCTACTACATCTATTTCTCTAATGTGTGCACACATCCCCAGGAAGAATCCCATAGCAGCTGTCTAACTCCCGGGTACCTATTTACTGCTAGGTGAACAGGTGCATCAGGGTGAAAGAAACTCTGTCCTTGTGTGTGTGTGTGTGTGTACTCGCCTAGTTGTGCTTGCGGGGGTTGAGCTTTGGCTCTGTAGTCCCGCTTCTCAACCGTCAATCAACTGATGTACAGATTCTTGAGCCTACTGGGCTGAATTTGAATACAAATTTGATTAATTTGAGGCTAAAACCTCAAAAGCCTATGTTTCAACTACTGGACTGTATGCTTCACTTTTGCAGAAAATCTTTTGCAGTATTGCAGCATTTTGTGATATATTCATTGTAAACTCTATGACCCCTCGAGGATTCGAACCTGGGCAGCCAGGGATCACCCAACTGGCTATTCCAGTACTAATAACACTCGACCATGAATTGTCTATAACTGATGGATGGTCCTAGAATCCATTTGCTTTCACAGGGATTACATGACCATCCCTCACTGGGCATCTCTCATGGTGCATATTGGGTACATATTTTCATAAGATCCTTGAACGTGTTGGGATCGCGCCATGCAATCGATGGTGGAGTAGTATTAGTACAGTATTGATAGCCAGTGAGGGGACCCCTGGCCACCCAGGTTCGAATCCTTGAGGGGTCATTAGTTTATAGCAATTTACAGCTTGGGGGACTATTCAAGCTATATCTCATACTTTTTATGCTCAGCGCAATCCTAGCATGTTCAAGGATTTGATGAAAAACTGTACCAAATATGTACTAAGAGTTGCCAGGCGATGGATTGTCATGGAATCGTGAGGAAGCAAGTTGAGTCTAGAACTGTCTGTTATAGGCAGTTGATGGTTGAATGGTATTAGCACTTGGATAGCCAGTGGCATGACCCCTGTCTGACCAGGTTCAACTCCTTCATCCAGGGATGTGAGCATCCTCAGAAAAACAGGAACTGAATGGGAACAGAAACTAGACAAGGTCCAGCACATGGTTCATGGAAATGTGGAACCAGAAGAGGTGGCCAGAAATCAATTATTTTTAGTAAACAAATTCTAATAGAACAAAGTTTGAAGGCAAATGGTATAAAAAGAGGTTCTGATATTTAAATGGCAATCTAGTAAAGCAGAAAAGAACAATAAAAACAAAAGTATTTACATAATAATAAATTGAATAAGCTAGACATAATCTTTTAATTCCCATTTTTAAATTTAAACTTGTTCAGTTTATTATTTACCAAAAGGTAAATTTTCTGAAACCTAGTTACCCTTCAGGGTAACTAGGTTTCAGAAGTATAATCTTGAAAGGGTAAAATATGAACCTGGGAAAATGTTAACTGATGAATTTTATGAAAAGTACGTAGGTAAATTCGATGCATTTACCAGTGTGATATCTTACATCAGAAGATACAAGAAAAGTGTTGCTGTGTAGTGGCTGAAACGTGAGAAACCTTCAGCTATTGATTGAGGTAAGTGCAGAAATTGTTAAGTAAAACAGGAATAAAGGAAAGTAATGGGTACTGTATAGGGAATTTACCAGAATGCTGTGGAAAGTTGCATTAGGCCAGATGATTGGAAAAACCTGTTGTTATACATTTGTATAAAATATGAGGGAGAGCTTGACAAATTTAAGAACTACAATATCCACCCTTGATCTGTGCGGGGCTTATATTCCTGCAAAAACCATGGAAAAAGAAAGCCAAATTTATAGGTACAATATATGGGAAAAATAGGGTTAGTTTCGAAAGGTCTCTCCATATAGGCACTTTCTGAGCAAAGCCTGCTGCTTCCTGATCCAGATCCCACCAAGAATACTGAACCTTTGAATAATATGCAAGAATACTAAAGCTGCTGGAGAAATATAAGAAAATTCACTTTTGTAAACAGAGTGGTAGACGGTTGGAACAAGTTAGGTGAGGTTGTGGTGGAGGCCAAAACCGTCAGTAATTTCAAAACATTATATGACAAGAGTGCTGGGGAGACGGGGCACCATAAGCGTAGTTCTCATCCTGTAACTACACTTAGGTAATTATCTTTACCAGGCTCTCGTTATACTGCACCTTGTGGTGACAGTAACACGGTCCAAGGAGCCGGTTTGGAGCCTAACTGGTGTAATTGTCTTCACTTTGTTTAAAGTTTTTCCCTGGTGCTGATTCTTAAAGACCAAGGGCCATCAAAGTTATCTTCTTTATAGCCAATGGTATAGCTTAGAGCATAACTTGGTTTCTCTTGAGTTTTGCCACTAATTTGGTAGGTGCCATTTGGGACTCTGGTCTAGAAGTTGGTGCATCTGCTCTCTAAATTTATGACAAGCTTTTGGTTTAGGCTATGGCTATACTTGCTTGGGGTTAAGTACAATTTATCCTTGAATAATGCATCATATTTTGATGTAAAATTCCCCCAATGTTAAAATATGATACATTATAAGTCATAGCATCTAGCTAAATTGATGGGTTGTTAAGTTTTCTATTCATGGGTTCATTGGTTAGGTTAGGTTTGAGCAAGGTAGTACAGTATTATCTTTTTTGTGACCTGACCCAACAACTTGAGAGGACAGGCTGTGAAGTGAGTGCACACACAAGAAGTATACATCTTTTGCATCCTTGTTGCTGATTTGGCCATTATCCTACAACTTTTAGGTTTTAGTCTGCATGGTTTCATCGATTATGGCTTTGGCTGGTACTGTGCTTGATTATGTTGTATGCATTTTCCCAGCATTTCCAATGACACTTTATTTTTATGACCAAATTGTACTAGATCCTGCTTTTGACCAGCGGCATATTTTCGAAATGTGCTCCACACACCTACAGAAGTCTTGAAATATTATTTACATGAATTGTAAAGTTATTTCATGTACTATGTGCATGGGTTTTTATAATAACATTCATGGATAAGACATTATAAAATGAATAAGCCAAGCATCTTTCACATGTGCTGATTTTAATATATATAACCATAACTTAATTATGGTTAACTGTTCCCTTTACAGTATTTTGTGAGAGTTGTGGAATTCACATTGACTTGAAATATGCATGGGTTGTGCAAAAGTAGAGCAATGTAGTAAATTCGTCGCCTGGTGTGCACTCCAATGCACAGATTGCCTGTACATTCATGTGCATCATCATCAAGCTACTCTGCAGGTAGCCAGGACTATTGTGTGTAGTATTGTCTGTTAGCACATAATGTGAGCAGATCAACGACACCATGATGGCCATCGTGGGTTGTCATTGAAAAATTTTACAAGAACCAGAAATTTGTCATCTAGGGATGAGTTAAGACTCAAAGCTGGAGCAAGTGGAGAGTGTTTGGTGTAGTAGGGAGAGATTTGGCTGAGGTATGAAGTTACTAATATCTTGAGGGACATGCTCGAGGCTACAGGTCAGGTCAGATACCCTGCGGTAGGTCACGTAGACTCTGCACCAAGCTTCGAGAACATTCTGGACAATTTCCTGATGAGCATGGAAGCTGCTCTGTGGTTGGCCAGCTATGAAAGCTGTGATTTGATTGGCCTATGCACTTGGGTATGCAATACAAAGGAGCCTACCAGTCCATGAGGCCAGGGAAATCGTGTCATTCTGTGCTGTGCGTCCGAGCGAACATAACGTTCCTTGATTCAGCCAAATAACTGTCTCGGGACCTCAGTGTGAAGTTCTCTACCCTTAATTGTGTATGTTGCAGACTTGTCTTTGCATACTCCTCAAGTCCTGTTCCTGGTGCATATATTGGACTAAATAGAGGAACTTCCTTAGAAAGTGATAGAAATACATTTTATGACCCACATAAGCTCTAAGTCATCAACAGAGGCAGCAGACTGTCCTTGTAGTCAGTGGAACAGTTGCATAACATTGATTATTAGTGTCTTGTGACCTTTTATTATCATATGTTATTGTGCTATCTTTTACAGGAATTGTGATTATTGACATATCATTGTTGTGTCCTTTGATCAGTTACAATTCTGTGATATGATATTACTGCATTGCATGCATTTCGATTGACAAATGTTATCAGTATACTATTGTGTAATACCCTTGTATTTGCTAGTGCAAGAGTGTGATCATCACAAGTGTTTCAATTAGTTCACTCTGTTGGCCTTACAATTAGTCAATAAAGACTGGTCTTTTAAGCATTCTGGCCTCATTGAATACCATCGTGCTGGGAAATGCTCATTGTTTAGCTTTTGTGGCTGTGACACTCTTAAAGTAAAGTACCCATGTGTAATATAGTGTTAATTTACTTTAATAAATTAAGAGTTAAGTTACACATGCTTTCAATTAAACCCTTTTTCCCATATCACATATAGCTTGTTATATGTGAGAGTAGTATGATAAAAAGTGAGTAAGGGAATACTCCCTTATTTACTTAATGATTTTTGACACATACTCAAGGGTAGAGCTGCTTCACAACCTAGCATCCTATAAATGTGATATAAGAACACCTAGTGTTCTACGCCCTCAAGAGAATTTCTGTTTGAGCAGGACAACGACCTACCTCAAGATTATAATATTTTAGTGGAAGAGATTATTACCCAGTGTTATGATCTAAGCCACTGATGGGTTGGTGTCTTTGTTAGCTCTTTGGGTATTTCAACATGAATTAGTGCAGGTGCAAGGAGCAATTGCAGGTCCTCTGTGAGAAGCCAGTTATTACAACTGTACTTGTATGCTAGTACATGTACTGTATATACATGTGCAGTCTTCCCTGTATTTTCTACATTTTCATGGGTGTACAATTGACTTATAGCCTAAGGTGCAGAAAACCCATTGTTAATCTCCATCATACACTATTGCTTCTGATCCTCTGGTTGCCTCTGCTCTGTTGGTAATTATCCAGGGCAGACCTTCAGTAATGTACTCTAGGTGTCTAGTGATTTCCTGGGTCCCTAAGTGTGTACTCCACTTTCTCTTGGGTGTTTCAGTTTTGTCCTACTTTCTGGCTATCTGATGTTCTTATACAGTCACTTTAGGTACATGCTACATTTTAATGTGGATGGTTCTTGGTAGAGTATCTCCTGGCCCTGTGTGAGCATGCTTCTGGTGTGTT